AAAAATATCCACAGTTTTCAGCCAATGGATTGCTCTTGTTAGGATACAATCCTTCATTTCATCTAACCCTCTTTCCTTCTCTAAGAAAATTCTTGCAATCCTTTCCTCCAAAGAGTCCATAGAGTGGCTGCCCTAACACATTTCCACATGACCTTACCTCTTCTAGTGTGCCAGACAAATATAGATGGGTTGAATAACGAGCTTAAATCAGAAGGCATAGACCACCTACCTCCAAATAAACAAAGGTTCCACCTCCATATAGCTGTAGCAAAGGAACAGGAGATTAGCAAATGGAAACAGTCCTCATTCTCGGCCTTACACAAGGAACACCAATTTGRGGAAAGATAAAGACAAGGGTTTATGCTAAAATTTTTGGCAGCCTTTTATTTTTGTGGCGTGTTCCATTGTTTGTTTGGTTCTCATAATTTGTCCTACTGGTTGTCAGAGGAAATAGTTAACATCATGACTTAGGTGGCGTTTGATAAATCTGAAAATTCAGATCTGAAAAGTTAAAAAGATATTAAGTGTCTGAAATCTGAAAAGAGGCATAGATGCTTTTCTACTTTTTAGAGGATCTGAATCCATAAGTTTGTTTGTGTTGGATCAACCCTTTACCGTCTGAAATTTACTGATTTTACTATTTTACCCCTAGAACATACTATTTGGAAATGTTGAGTTCATTTTGCATTATCTCATAAAAAATAATTTTCAACCTCAAAATAATATTGAAACAATACAAATAAAATATAATAAATTAATAATTACTAATTAATAAATGAAATGATTAAAATTTTAAAAAATAATTAATGACTATAAAAATATTAAAATAATTAATAATTTACACAAATAAAAATTAAAATAATTTTAAAAAATTATTGAAATAACTAAAAATTACTAGTTAATAAAATAATTAATAATTAATAAATAACACAAGTAAATTTAATAAAAAATAATTAATGTTTAATAAAATATATTAAAATATTTAATAATTAATAAAAATATTATTATTACTCATCGACCCACCGCTGCTGCATGTTGCAGCAGGGGAGAGAGAGAGAGAGAGAGACGCTACAAGTTACAAAGACTCGTGCCGAGTGCACCTTGTGCCTTAGCTTAGGTGCATTCCTTTGTTAAACCCCTGACCAAGCCCCCATGCTATGGTCTTGAATTCTTAAGTTATGCATAAAATATAGGTGTTTATTTTTATTATAGTTCATTATCTTTGTTGAAGATTAATTAGTTTTATGATGTTTTTCTGAGTAGATGTTTATGTTAGTTGTTAGATAGGAGGTGGGGACCACAGTAGTTATGTGAGTCCAAATTTTATTATGTTTTTTGAGTGTTATATATGCTGTTTTATGTTTTGCTGCCCTATA